TAGTTGAAAACGTTCGCCTCCTCTGTCGTCATGCTACTCTGCAGCATTCGTCTGTTGTCGAACACGATGCCCACTCATAGAGTTTTTCTTTTCAGCATTTAATTGAAACGTCACTCATAACGCCGTGTCCGAAACGCCTTTTGCTAGTGTCGACACAGTATTCGTTAACCAGCTCTACAGCGCAGTGTGATCTCCATACTCAACGCTAACTAGAAATATTACCGGGTATCATAAGCTGTCTTTGTCAACGGCAAGGAGTTTATAGTTATTTTCGGAATAGTTGGACATGAACATTTTGTTTTCGAGCGTGATAAAGCAATATTATTGAAAAAGCGGACCGCTTACCAATTGCTTTGATTGACGGTTTGTTACTGAAGAATTAACCTTCCTACGTTCCACCGCATCAGTGAAGCGGTGTTTGCACGTGTCTGCCGAAAACTGAAATGCGTGACATATTGGCATAGACATGTGTTTGGGAGCAGAACATGTTCATACATCTAGCTTGCGAAGATATCCGTATGTATACGCGATATATGCTTGAAACGTGGTAAAACAAAAACTTAAGAAATCTAAAGACGTGCGTATCCGTCACTTCTTACATGTGGTTCTGACTAAGTGATTGTTCGCAGACTATTAGTAAAGTGCTTGATGTATCGTTTCTAGATTCATACCTGAACACAAAGAATACTCTAGCAGATTTCAGTAGATATTTTTGACGTAGCAGGTATTTTTTTAAACTGAAATTTATACTCTCTGAACAAAAAGACTCATCATTTGCGTTCGCAGAATTTAGTATGCTTTCAGGCTTTTGTACCATGAAGCGCGACCACGGAGGCTACAGCATTTACTAATAGAAATCGAATGAAGATCGTCTTGAAACATATCAACTTGGTTAAAATTTCAGCCATCCTCGATTCACAGGTTTTTCGGAACAAAGCGTGATGAACCGAACGAAAATCTAAACGAAGTTCAACATTGATACATTCGAGGTGTATTGTCAAGATGACTACCTTCAGCGCGTTTCTACCTCATCAGTTAGCGCTCGGTCTAACGAATAAACGCTCGCGTTGTCCTCCGCCGATTCCGCCGAAGCCGACTTTCACGAAATCATCCTATGGTGGTTCCCTAACTGACAACAGTTCAGGTGGATCCCGGATTCCAGGAGATTTCACGAATCAGTCCTTGGAATCGTAAGTTAACAAATACATTCGCACGAAATGGCAGCCATTTTCACATATATTGCTTCATGCACAGTAAAATTATGCTACGTTTGTGTGTCTGTCTTTCCTAAGGAATGTTCAACTGGCCACACTCTAGGTCATTTCGATGCTATCACTGCTATTGTATCGAGCAGAGAAGTGCTGGTATTTTTACCTTCAGCAGTATGAGAGCATCATGGGTCAGTTTCAGTTTCCTAGATTCATAACACGTTTATGATAATGAACTTAAGTAACCTTTATTACTTATGACATAACAAGGAGTGCTTGTCGTTCAGATTCCAGCTTAGGTTCTGGTGGACACTTTAATGCATAGGGATAGACTAATTGGGTCGCCTTTGTTCCACTGCAGGAAAGGGAATAAATGCGACAGTCGTCCGTGATGTGTGCCACTTTTTGCACCTTGCCACATTAACAGTGCTGTAATTCTTTCTTTATCTACTTATAGAAAATATATGCGCATATTTTAGTCCTGTAGAAAATAAGGTTGGTGAAATACATTGCCGTCAGGTACGCTGAACGCCGGTCCTTAACCAGATCAGCTTCTGTTTGGGACGTCGCATCTGGTTCATGATTCATTCAGACGCGTCTCAATCGTATAGTTAGAATCCGATGATTTTCACGTGGAAGGCAATAATTTCTTGTTACACGCAGGTATTATACTTGAAGTGCATAACTTGCAGCGTGAAGCTTCAAGTCCTGAAGTCTGTTACGGCAAAACACATTCTGTTAATCTGCATCCACCACATGGATTTGTCTTCAACACGTTCGTGTATACAGAAATAAACAAATAATATATAACATATTTGTGGTGGAAGTAGTCATATCAAATATATTTCTTCATTAGGTGACGCCCTGCAGCGCTATTTTGTTCACCGCCTACGCCGTTTGAGAATGCTTTCATAAAGTCGTGGCGCATCTCACAGACAGTTTACTCAAATCATGTTTAAGCACATGACATTATGTACATTCAGAACTAAAAACGACGTAGTTTAACATAATGAAAATGTCGTTTTATTCAGTGATAAACAGGGGCCGAAGCTGAATCGAAATTCGTTAATCGTCTTGGCGTTGTGTTATTTTTTCACTTTGAAATAATTATCTGTATTCATGCTGTTTGTGGTTGTAATTGCTTTAGCCGCAGGGCTAGCAGCTGTGAACAAGTAAATATTTTTTATTTTTTATTTAACTACTATGGTATAGAAATTCAATAACTCTTCCAACTAATATGACTAATTTAAAGACTGCAATATTTTTTGTCATATTCGAACCCCGTTATTAAATGGTCAAGGCACCAAATTTACCAGTATCGGAAAATGAATAAATATCCTGCTGCTCACTATATCTTGTGGATTTCAGTCCATGCGTCTCTTGAACATCGTTCATCAGCTGTTTGATAATAGTTATGACAAGAAATGTGAAATTGAATTGTATTGAATATTTGAAATCATCTTTATCATCTTTACTGTTGTTTGTCAGCACTTGCAGCACTTGCTTTGTACGAAAGACCACAGATTACATTTTAAGCTAATAATGATAAAAATACCGAACAAGATTTTCCGGCTTATCGATGCCACGAGTATACCATGAATGGGAAAAACTCTCTCAGAGCTGTTTTTTGAACCATCCCAGTTCATTAGTTGTTCAACAGTTATGCAGCACCCTTGTCTCACTACAAACTGTAAACGGTCGGCGAGGTTTCTTGTGCATACTGATATATGAAGTCATAATAAAGATTTCCTTGACCTGACATATGTGAGCTGATACATCCCTATAACTCGACACGCAGATCTCGTCTGAAGATTGCTTCTGGTTTCGTAATTGGTATCTAAGACTATCGTAGTGAATCAGGAATGAACTCAGATCCAAATAGTTTATTCTTCGACAGTTACGCACCTAACTGGACGTTTCAGAAAGATTAGGCTGTGAAGAATTTAGATTTAAATAGCTCCGTATTATTAATCTGAGATAATAATTCCTTGATTCCCCAGTGTTATGCATGTCTTGTCCTATTTAAGTATGATTTTCAGGCAGACTGTTGTTCCCTTTGTATCTTACTTAGTTCAAAGGTCGATTAGTACGCGTGTTGAGTTCAAGCAGAAGCAGCTACCAGTCGTATTTGGCCATTCGTCTGAAGAAACTGCATTCTACTTTATATTTGCTAATGAACATTCTGACATTTTTGGTTTGAAAATTAGATTGTCCAGCCACCGGTCATGCTTTTCTCAGCGACGAAACTGTCAGTCTGATTCAGAAGTTCAGCCTATCTTGCAGAAGACAGTCACGCGCAAGTGCAAGTCTTGTTCCAACATTCGGTTTTCCAATCTTGCTTTCGTCAAGAAGAGCCCTGCCAGAAAATGGCCTTTGCGTCAGAAGGCGATGCAGGCACATTTTTCCGTTCTTTCTGAACGCAGCAGTGCGTATTCAGACTCATCATCAGAAGCTGATGCAGAACAGTTGGAAGAGGTACTAATGCCGTTTCAGTAACCTACACTGCATCTTTCTTGAAGCTTTTACTAGAATGGTTTCAGTTCTTTTATTCGTTTATTCAAATGCAATTTTGAACGTGGGGGCCACCTTGTGTCATGTATTTGACTCTGAAGCATGCCACTGATACAGCCCTCAACTATATGGAAGGCAGACACCAGTTTCGACCACTTCGCAGTTCCGCATTTACGTAAAGATTAAGAGAATACTATGCTGATTAGCAGAACCGTCTTTTCTTACAGGATTGTTCCAGGATGGAAAATGGAAAATGATTTAAATCTACAGATAAAGAGCGGATCGATATCTAGAATTAACATTTTAAAATGTAACGACTTTGAAAGCAGCATGATTGGTTGTCTGTTTCCCAGAGATTTCTTCCTCACAGTTCCTTGCTCCTTTAAATTTGACCTCAGAAAATGAGGCATGTGGGTCGACAAAAGGTCTCCAACTCTCAGATCAATTTCAGTGATCCTTCCGCCGTTACAGTTTATCATAGCTCCCCTGTTGAGTGATTTTAATAGGATAATTGATCGCTGAAGCGTCAGCATTTATGCCTATTCTCATGTGGAGATGCAGCGTCGGTTTTAATCGTGCTGTCGCGTAGAAAATGTCTTAAACTTGTTTAGGAGAAGCGAGTTGAGAAGCTAAGTCATATCATGCAGGAGATCTGCAGTACCGAATGGAATTATGTAGAAACCTTGAAGAATTTGAGTCTGGTGAGAATGTTGATTCCAATACAGCTTTTGATAAATTTGGCGCATTTCTTTAGGATTTTCCACAGTTCATCAGAAAGCAATCTCTGAAAGCGCATCGAGAATTAGTGGAACCTGATATTCCGGCAGAAATCGCAAAGCATCTTCAGGTTCTTCGCAAACTGCATTCAGACATTGCGAATCAGTTCCAGGCTCGACTAAACTGCCGGTAATCGCATTCTGTTTTATCTCTGTAATAAAAAGTTATTTTGACATCCCTAGCACTATTATCATAAATCACTGTTTCGCAAAGCAATCAAAACATGGATTCCTACTCTAGCTGTGTTAATATTTCGCATAACTCATCAAATCGCTGGATTAAAGAAGAATTTTACCGCCTCGTTGATCTTAATTGCGCACGAGAACAATTTAAACAAGCGACGGCTTCGTCGACTGTACACCTGCAGTGCTCGGTGAATCTCATATCGTTCTATTTGCTGGAATAACATCTTGCTGATTACCAGTGGCCTCTCCCGCTTTGTTTGTGCTGACTGTTTTTCTAAAAGTATAAAAGGAATAGGAAGAGTAACATACGAAGATCCGGTGGCAGAAGCAACCGGAGAATCAAATGGGAAACATTGTCTTCGGTGAACACGAGATCGAAATTTGCAAACAACATCGCACGACGGTTTGAAC